TGAAGTTGTCACTGAACAAAAATTCACCCCTGCTTGTTTACATAATGGGAAAATATAGTCATAAAATGGGTCCAGCAACAATTTGGTAGGTATTAAGTTAAGGTGCAATGTGGGGATTATCCTCATAAAACACTGAGCCCTAAACTCAAATGATCAAGATTAACTTGACAGTTGCATTTAGGAATTCTTTAAAAGCTAAATGTGATGCTTAAGGCTTTTAAGTTGCTGTTGTTCTGAGCAAGTTGATGAAAATCAAGAGTTCCAGGTCTGGAACTCTTCTGGAACAGGTTGTTCATCTGGAACAACCAGATGAAAATGACAAATACAATAAAAAGCCTTTCTTTTGCTAGTGTTGGCTTTGTGGTAGCTCTTCACTGGGTGTAAGTAGGTGTTAGGTTTGTTCCTCTTTCTGCCACTGCACTGCTTTATGACCTTTGAAATACATCTAATTGGGGTGAAGTTTTCAAAGGTACCCATCTGGGGGGTCACTGTGCAGACCCCATGAACACAGGTCTCTAGAGCATCTCCCTGAGCATGTTTCAGTATCCAGCACAGTGAAATCCTAGCCTTGGCTTTGATAATTAGAATATGTGCTGATTTTGTGAACTCTGATATCGATGTGCTTTAGAAAAACATCTGGACCCTCTCTGCCGTTTAATCAAATGAAATCTTTGAGATTTGTCTTCCTTCTATCCTGCCTAGCTTCACTGCTCCCCTTCTATGTCTAACCAGTTCTTATTTGGGAAGGGAAATACATTTATCTGTTTATAAGAATGATTAGCAAAAGCACTGCAAACTTCAGCACGCTTCCTCCTCTGAACAACAGAACAGTGTGCAAGAGGAGGCACATGATGTGTACAAACATGCCCAGAAAGAAAGCGGAATAAAGCCCATGGAAAGTAAAAGCGAGACACAAAAGGGCAAGGGTTCGTGTGTTAGTGTTAGAGGAAGGTGAAAACGCTTCCTGGCAACATCTGAGAATCATTTGCAGCAACCGATCCATGAGCTTTAGTGAGTAGAGAATGTTTTAAATCCTTCCCCACCCCCTTTGTTAATCTTTACCAGGTAGTAAGACCTTTAATGTAATTCGTATGGCGTTTGGAGGGATGGGTGAAATGTTTCCATTTGAAAACGAAGGAGTTTGCCGTGGCTCTCAGATTTAAGTTCACAAGTCTGGTTGTAAGTCTGTGGTCTTCTCCCCTTTAAAATTTGGTAATAATAATAGTATAATAATAATAACAATAATAGTCTTCAGGCTGTTCTGCAAAAGTCAGTGTGTCCCAGTAGCGAGAGTGATGAACTTCATGGCCTCAGTACTTCTTGCTTGGGATAGGAAAATCCTATTCCTGTTTGAAAGTGTCCCCATGAATGAAGGACAGCTTATAACACAGATTTACATAATTCAGAAACACTGGAGGATGGGGTTTTAGGCTTAAATGTTCTGAGCAACATCAGACAATGTAAAAGAGTTATTAATTATGATGTATGAGTATTATTGTACTTGAGAGACTTTCAGAGAGAGCCTGGAAAGGTTCAGAGCTGGCTTACTTACCTTAAAGCACACCCAAAATACTGGGCAGCCTTTTTAGGTGGTTTTGAGTGGCTGAGGAGACTTATTTCCTAAAACTTCAAAGTACATTTGGGATTTTAGGTCATCTGGGGCACGTCTCCACTGTGCAATGCCAAATGACTCTGAGCAATCCAATTTTCAACATGGAGAATGTTTAACTCAGATCCTGAGAGCAGTATATGGCTGTTAGAGCAATATATGGCTGTAAGCGTTGATCTTCATTAATTCTTTTTTACCCTATCCAGCTGCAGGGCTAGGTTATTTGGTCCTGGTTTAGGAAGTTCTGCATCACATCCCTTCCTTATTACGGACATTGTGATTGTTCTGCAAGATCCAATCTAGCATCTTACTACATAGCTTCATTTATACCAGTCCAAAACTCATCATAAGCATCTATCTATTATTACAACCTGTACTTAGGAGTGACTCTAAGTAGAGTCAGAGTTCCTAATGCAAGATGCCTCACAATGAAAGTCATCTCCTATGTGTGACAGACTACTGTAAAGTCAGAGTGGACTTTGCCTCACGGCTGCGTGTGTGGCAGCCCATGATTATTCCCAGCACCAACAAAACCTAAAGATGGTGCCAGAAAAACACCACTTTTGAAACATGATGATTTGCTGATGGCAACAGCAGAGAGTGGAAGCAGCTCAGTAGTCCTTGATTCATGAACTGTTTAGTCCCTTTTAGAGTCCCAGGACATTTGTGAGTATTTTCAAGGAACTCTAGTTTGAACCAGTCAATAAGAAAACCAGTCTAAGCCCAAGTATGGTTTTTATTTAAGCTTATATTGACTCCTGATTACAATTTGCTTCATTTTCACACCTCACATTATGAGGTTCTTAAAAAAAATAACTCAATAGTTTCCAATTTTTTGTTTGTTATGAAATATGACTTGTAAAATGTTAGGTCAGGAGTCTTCAGTAGACTAAGGCTACACTGTTTGTTTAAAGCTATGAGTGAAGCAAGTCATATGAATGTTTCCAAAGAGTCTCTTCCAAAAGTATTTTTGGAAACATTAATGTTGTGTTTTTTAATGAAGGCCACATTCTGAGGCTACGCCACCATATGTCACATTCATTTCTGCCCTGGAAAAAAAGAGAAAAGAAGACCAAAAAAAAGAAAAGAAAAAAGAAATGGAAACTATGTTTGGCTTTTAAGTGTTTTTGGAATAATGTCTATGCATGCTTGTCATTGTTCCTTGGATGAGAGAAGAGTTCTCGGTCTGTTAATCTAGTCCATCCAATATATATTACACTCTATGGGCCTGACTCTCCTCTGCCTTGAAGTGTGTGCAGTCATTTCGACTCAAGCAAAGTGAATGAAGAGCTGAGGAAAAAGACTACCGCTAGGAAAGTTTTTTTTCTTTCTAAATTCATTTTCCATGAATCTGTTGGCTTCGTTGTAAACCTACATCTGAACTTTTGTCAGCTGAACCCAGCTAAAAAACGGGAAAAGTACTTGTCATTTTTCCATTGCAAACTTACAGTTCTTGGAAGAATAATGACAGTTTTACCTCAGGAAAAAGAAAAAAAAAGAATGAATTTAGCTTATTTTCTTCAGAGGTGTCAGTTAGAAGCATGGCGTTTGCAAAGATGTTGGGTTGTCCTGGCTGTGTCCCCTATCACTTCTGACTTGTCAATGTTCGTGTGTTAGCGCTTGGGATATGGTGGAATGAGCTGAAGACCTGCAGGAAAAGGCATTTGCCTTTTTCAGTGCTGTATCCTAGAAGTAATTCATAAGCGTCCTGTAACTGATTATTTCAGCTGAGTCTTTCCTTTCTTATTGGATTCCTGTTGATGAGGTCTCAGTTTCTAACATAAGTTCTTGTTATTAGTCACTAAACCTATAGCCCAGCACTTCGTACTGCTGAAGTTCATCTGGTTGCAATCTGCAAAGACATCCCTTCTTTCTCTGCTCTGACAGAGGAATCTCCTCATTCACATCACTTCCTAAATTTGTGTCATCCACAGATTTTATTAACATGCTGCATGTTTGTTTCAAACCCATGAATAAAAACGTAAATGCTTTTAGGAAGCTGGATATTTTTTGTTTGTTTGCTTTAAGGAACGATTTGAGAGGATTTGCAGGACCTCAGAGGTGTTTCTTTCTCATTTCAAATGTAAATGCTTTGCTACAAATGGAACAAATATGTTTTTGTAGCACTGGCCCAGGAAAGCTCAATTCCACGACCAGCTTTTTCTGGGCAGTATCTAAACAAATCGAATGATGAATGATGGAGTGTTTTATACATTTTCTGGTTGAAAAAAATTAGCACTGGATGTGCTAGCCATGCTACTGAAGTCTTATATCTAAATGAGGGTGTTCTACAGGGCATTTCTTCTAATGGAGAAAAACAAGCAAACGTGCAACAAAGAAATCATTAATGACCTCAACTATTTCAATGAGAACCTTAACATGAGCCGGCTTCAGTGTGCGCTTGCAGCCCAGAAAGCCAACCGTATCCTGGGCTGCATCAAAAGGAGCATGACCAGCAGATCGAAGGAGCTGATCCTGCCCCTCTACTCTGCTCTCGTGAGACCTCACTTGGAGCATTGTGTGCAGTTCTGGTGTCCTCAACATAAAAAGGACATGGAACTGTTGGAACAAGTCCAGAGGAGGCCATGAGGATGATCAGGGGACTGGAGCACCTCCTGTATCAAGATAGGCTGAGAAAGTTGGGGCTGTTCAGCCAGGAGAAGAGAAGGCTGCGTGGAGACCTCATAGCAGCCTTCCAGTATCTGAAGGGGGTCTACAAGGATGCTGGGAAGGGACTCTTCATTAGGGACTGTAGTGATAGCCAACAGGTAATGGGTTAAAACTTAAACAGGGGAAGTTTAGATTGGCTATTAAGAGGAAGCTCTTTACTGTAAGGCTGGTGAGGTACTGGAATGGGTTGCCCAGGGAAGTTTTGAATGCTCCATCCCTGGCTATGTTCAAGGCCAGGTTGGATGAGGCCTTGGGTGAGATGTTTTAGTGTGAGGTGTCCCTGCCCATGGCAGGGGGGTTGGAACTGGATGATCTTAAGGTCCTTTCCAACCCTAACTATTCTATGATTCTATGATTTGGCTAACTTTAAGAGGGTTCATGCCATTCCTGTGGCTGTTCATGAGAACCCATCCAAATCTGAATGTTCACCAGAACGTCAAAAGAGATACTTGCAGTGAGTTCACCACAAAGGGTTTTGATTTCTGTTTTCATCTCCATACTAGATGTTTGGTTTGATAGGGACATTTCTAGCTAGTTGAGTTTCTAACTGCCTCATATTTCCAGCCTTATGTTTTTGAGCCGAGTTGCGTAATGAATGTCAGAGCCTCCAGAAAATTGCTTGTGATGGCCACAGAGTGAATGTTTATTCAGATTCGGTGTTACACAGTTCTGGCATACGGAATTCAAACAAAAATGAACTTTTTCTTCTATTATTTCATAGATTTCCAATGACCAAAGGAAACAAATAGCCCCTGGGACGGACAAGTCTGTTCTGCAAACTGATGCCACGAGGCAGAGATGAGAAAGATGACTGAGCAGCGTGGTTGCTATAGGCCTGTAAACACACAGGGAAATAAGACCAGTTACCAAGGCACTTGTCAAGAAAGCCCGGAAAAGGGGATGAAAAGATTGCAGAAGAGGTTTCTCCACAAGGATGGCAGCTGCAATGTGTACTTCAAACACATCTTTGGGGAATGGGAGAGCTATGTAGTGGACATATTTACCACACTGGTGGACATCAAGTGGCGCCATATGTTTGTGATATTCTCGTTGTCATATGTTCTTTCATGGTTATTCTTTGGACTGGTCTTCTGGCTGATAGCAATCCAACACGGAGATTTATTCAATGATGAAGAAATAACCCCCTGTGTTGCAAATGTCCATAGTTTCACAGGGGCATTCCTGTTCTCCCTTGAAACCCAAACGACCATCGGGTACGGTTACCGCTGTGTTACAGAAGAGTGCTCCGTCGCAATCCTCATGGTTATCTTGCAGTCAGTATTAAGCTGCATTATTGACACCTTCATAATCGGAGCAGCCTTGGCTAAAATGGCCACAGCTCGAAAAAGAGCTCAAACCATTCGTTTCAGCTACTATGCTGTTGTTGGCCTGAGAGATGATAAGTTTTGCCTCATGTGGCGCATTGGTGATTTCCGGCCAAACCACATGGTTGAGGGCTCTGTACGAGCTCAGCTCCTGCGCTACAAGGAAGACAAGGAGGGGAGAATGACAATGGAATACAAGGACTTGAAGTTGCTAAATGACCAGATCATACTTGTTACGCCAGTGACCGTCGTACACGAAATTGATAGCGAGAGCCCCTTGTATGGTCTAGATCGGAAAGCTCTGGCCAAAGACAGCTTTGAAATCTTGGTCACATTTGTCTACACGGGTGATTCAACAGGAACTTCACATCAGTCAAGAAGCTCGTATGTCCCCAGAGAGATTCTTTGGGGCCATAGGTTTAATGATGTCTTACATGTAAAGAAAAAATACTACAAGGTGGATTGCTTACAGTTTGAAGAAACCACAGAGGTTTATGCTCCTCACTGCAGTGCCATGCAGCTGGATCGAAAAGAGCAAGAATGGAACCGAATTGAGAAGACGCGGGAAAAAGAAGCAGAGACATCAGCACTGGAGATCAAGCCATTCAGTACCGACCGAACATCATTTAGTGCAGTTGCCCTCATCACCAGCTGCGAAGATCCAGAAGACCCAGTGACAACTGTCAGTCAGCCTTCTGGAGAAGTTTCATATCAGAAAGCAACTGTGACCTTAAATAGGTTATCAATAGAGTCCCAAATCTAGCTTTTCACTGCAAGTAAAAGCACTTCCAACAAATTCTCCCATCATAGCTTTTAGAATGTAAACAGTGAACTCATCTGCACAAGTATTTCTATTACAAACCTCGCTGACAGTATGCCCACATTGTAATACACTGCTGAGCTGCTAAAAGGAGCTCCGTGCTGGTTAGCGTGGGTATCAGCAACAGATTAGCATTGGCACAAGAGAACAGCTTATATTTGGGTTGACTAGACAGCTACTGCACTTGAGCAAACTTACTGTAAACTTTATTACCCTGCAGGGACCAATGTTGGATGTACCCAGAGGCAGATAATGATCTAGGCAGGGAACAGACACAATGGAGTGTGCCCTCTAGGTCAGGTTTTCAAAGCTGCCTCATTTATTTGGAAAGCCAGTTCCCAATCTCTCTAGGAGGCTCTGGAACTCCCCACCATCACAACATTGCACCTCTCCAGCAGTTCAAACAAAGCCCTCATCCCAGGGTTACACTGGTGAATCTATGGGGGTGTGCTTTGTAGGAAGGAGCGAACTGAACCCAGTATTACTGGGTAGCTTTGGAAACCTGCTTACACCCTGCCTCGTCCTGTGGGAGCCACAGCGGGATCTTGCAGAGCTTTTCCCATTTCCTGTGGTGAGCTATTGCTAGAAGTGCCTCTCCCTGGGCAGCCTGAGGTAGGTGGTATGTGAGCTGCCTTGGGGCTGCATGCACAGTTTGCTACCTGCCAAACTCACTTGCAGCGTTCAGAAAGCAAAACAAGTTGACACTGAAATCAGCAAAAGCAAGTTGAGCCTCAGAGAGAAGGTGCTGGGTTTAGAGTGAGCTGTGCAATATTTTAAATCAAGTGTTTCATTTCAGAATGTCAGCCTTTGCTTTTCTCTTTTAGTGTATTACGCTTCTTTAAAAGGACAGTGATCAATCTGGAGACCAAAGAGTGTGATTTTGTCAGAAGGAAATACTTTCATTCCCCTGAAATAACTGTGTTAAAATGATCCTTCACAGACAAATTCAACATATTCAGCTGTCATCTCAATAAGGCAAAAAAGGAGAATGTCGACGTTTGGAAGTTACCTGTGACATGGAAGTTCCACGCTCTGCACATCCTGTGCTTACTCAATAAGCAGTATCTCATCGTGCTTTTTTTCCCCTTGATGATTATGGTTCATTTGCATTGTATGTAATTATAATGCTAATGTAAAAGTAATTATCTCTGAATTTGTGGTTACCTAAACTGGGATTTAGCTCACCTGACCTCAGCCCTCAAGAAATCAAGTGTTTGCCTACCTATTGAGGCCTCTGTGCTCACTGGAACTCTTCTTCTGTCTTCACAGGGGACTTTACCCCGTTTTGCTTTGGCTTTTTAGGGAGCTGAAGGCAACAGGATGTGTTCATCCTTCTCTGTTTATCGTTGAAAGAGATGAGATGATGGTTGTGGCAATGCTGCCTAACTTTAGGCTGCTAAAATTAGGTCTGACGTGTCACTCACATCATTCTGACTAATTAAAAGGTTTTATGAGCTCATCACAGTTAATGAAGAAAAACAGCATGCTGAATCTTTCTCCGCCTGAAATTTACTCCATATAGTAGCAATGCTGCATTATTTTCATGTATCTTGCATTTTCTCTTTTGCTAGCACTTGATAGAAATGATGCCTTTAGGTAAAACGAAGCACATTAACAAGCCTGGGGGGAGGTCGTTATTCCAGAACTCATTAGTTAGCCAATTCTATATGCTGAATCATCAGCACCATCCATCTATAACTATAGTAGAAAACATCTTCTTGTATCCTGGATTTGAGCATTGTCAAGCATTGGGGAAATGGTCTAAAAAATGGCAAGGAATATAGAAAAATGTATAAGGGTCTCAGTACTCACATGGTGTTGGAAAAGACACCATCTGGATTGTGTAAAATAGAATATAACCTTGAAGCCACTTGAAGGAATCCATCCACACTCCTCTATCCATGAAAGATCTTGGCTGGGATACTTTATTTGATGTTGGGCACCTCACTTTGGGGAAGACATGGAACAATTTGAAGCCAATCCAGAGATCTAGAAGAAATGTGAGTGAGGAAGTGGGGAAATATCTTCAGGTGTTTCAGTCCAAAAAGGGGTTAGAAAACAAAGAAACAGTTCTCAAACACAGAAATTGCAATTTAAAAGAGAGGGACAGTCTGTTATTGTATGTGGTGGGTAGGACAGGGCTTAAATTGAAACCAAAGAGATTGAAGTGAACTGGGAGCCTGCTGGAGAAGATGCCTTGTAGGAGTGATACAGGATAAGCTCTTGCCTTGAATTTTCCAACCCTGTTTTTCTGTGATCCTGATTATCAGAAAAAGGGACTGTATAGCATGAAATCTGCTTAACTGCTCACTTTGCAAGTATTTACACGTGTGTTTGTGCTTAGTTATAGAATCATAGAATCCTGGAATGGTTTGGGGTGGAAAGGACCTTAAAGCTCATCCAATTGCAACCCCTGCCATGGGCAGGGACACCTTCCACTAGAGCAGCTTGCTCCAAGCCCCTGTGTCCAACCTGGCCTTGAACACTGCCAGGGATGGGGCAGCCACAGCTTCTCTGGGCACCCTGTGCCAGCGCCTCAGCACCCTCACAGGGAAGAGCTTCTGCCTAAGAGCTCATCTCAGTCTCCCCTCTGGCAGGTTAAAGCCATTCCCCCTTGGCCTGTCCCTACAGGCCCTTGTCCAAAGTCCCTCTCCAGATTCCTTGTAGGTAAAGCTACCGAGAGAGAGGAAACACTACTGAGCTGTGTAACCAAAACCCAAATAATATCACCAAAAGGTGCTCGTTTCAGGTGCTGTTTGTAAAAGCAGTTTCCCTCGAGCTGTGGATCTCAGCTACTTTTCCCTCTCCATTATGTACTGTGTGAGCCTCTTGCGGTGAAAGAAATTCCTTCCTCAGAACGACTTTCCTGTGAGTGGAAGTACCAGGAATCTGATTGAGGGTTTTGTCACATGCTTCTTGGTATAGATAGATAGATATAAACACGTGAGCATGTAGAGTAATGTATGTGCTGGCGTGTAAGCCAACCGCTAACTGATGAGGGTCAGGAAGAAACTTCTCTCCTGGGCATGTTAATTCGTAACAGGCTACTATACAGTTTCTCCTACTTTTATCTCCAGCATCTGATACCAGCCAGTGCTGGAGACAGGATACTGGTTGAACCACTGGTCTCAACTTGTCTGGCTTTTTCTCTGTTTGATATTTTAATTTCATTTATCACAGTCTGTAGAATGATGGAGAGTGAAGCATGCATTGCATTTCTATGAATAAAGACTCAGAAATAAAGAACATGCCTCTACCACACACCTTGTGAGAGCACGTTTTACTTCCCTTCAGTTTTAAGCTTCCGTGCTTTATGCACCGAGAGGTCATGGAAAGATTGATAAGGTGCAGAGTAGCCTTTTGACTTTAAAAGATGCCAAATCACAGGCAAACCCACCAGGTTGTAAATACATTCAGTGGAAGCTTCTTAGCATGAACTGTGACAGAAAAGGCAAATAAAGCCCTGCACACAGACATATGTACACACATCTCTGCATCCAGAACTTGTGTTCTTAACCCACATCCTCCTCACCTGGTGGAGGATCTTTGATGCATGGACCAGACAGGAGTGGATGAAGGCATAGGAGGGTACACAAAACGTGCAGCCTCCTTCCATAACTATCATTTCAGTGGGGTCTGATTGTGCTTTTAGCAGATGTAGTCCTTACATCCTCCTTTCCTAGGAGGGAAACATGGAATGGTTTGGGTTGGAAGGGACCTTAAAGACCATTTGGTTCCAGCCCCCTCAGCTGGAAGTTGCTCTCCCTGTTCCCGTCTTTTCCACAAAATTGTAACAACAAAGAGAAAACCCAAACCACTTCGCATTGGACCCCTGCTTCCTGATTATAGCCGCATCTTGGTTATTTTCTCTTGGAAAGCAGCACTATTGTTCTGGGTCAGGATTAGTTTATGTCAAAGGGAATATAAGAAGAGATTATTATACGATTTATTTTTCCAGCTTTGCCTACCACCGTTCATTAGGGCAGTTGGCATTTTCTTCCCCTTTATCATGTATCATTTAGCGCATATTTTGTGTGAAGTTGAGTTTTAGATGTGGGATATAACATCTATCAGAGAATCAGGGAGTGGGTTGGGTTGAAGGGACCTTAAAGCTCCTCCAGCTCCAACCCCTGCCACGGGCAGGGACCCCTTCCACAGAGCAGCTTGCTCCAAGCCTCTGTGTCCAACCTGGCCTTGAACACTGCCAGGGATGGGGCAGCCACAGCTTCTCTGGGCACCCTGTGCCAGTGCCTCAGCACCCTCATAGTAAAGAATTTCTTCCCATATCCAATCTAAATCCCTTTGTTTATCCCCTGTTCCTTACATGCTGTGCAGGAGGCCTGCCTTCAGCTGCCTGCCGACCCTGCAGCATTATGGTGACACACTCTCATTCCCTTCAGGAAATAACAGGTACCTTCCAGGGTATCCGAAGTGTTTGTGTGGGAAGAGAGAATTGCTTGTAAGCTTTATTTAGCTCTTAAAATCTTCACTGGTTTTGAGCTGAGAACCTGCAAACACAAAGAGTGGGTGTCTGTGGTGGGCCTCAGAGGCCCGTTTAGGGAAGCATCTGACAACAAATTCACTTCCAAGAAGACAAGAGGAAGCGTGACAGAAGTGAAACAAGGATGAAGCAAGGAGCAACTACAGTTTATGTCTGGGCTGAAAAGCATGGGTTGGTGGATCGATGGTTTCCTGGGGCTTAATGTCATAACACAGGAGCTCCTGGAGTTTAAAGCTTTTCCTGGGGTCACTCCCTGTGGTTGAGGAGGTGATGGGGAATCAGATAATCGAGCAAAACCGATGGGACGGGCAGCTCCCTTTCAAGCTCACCTTGCTGAAGTTGGACTTTCTGCAGCTGTGCTGTTGCCACCCGTCCGTTGATGTCGCTCCATAGCACAGAGTCACCTGGCACTCTCAGAAATGCCCATAAGGTCCCTACCCAGGGGTGTCCCGGTGTCTCTGTGCCCTCATCCCCGGTCCCCCCCTCGCCGCAGGCATCCCCCGCGGGCTCCGGCCGCCGGGAGCCGCCGCCGCCGCCGCTCCGCCGGGCGCGCACTTGGGCGCCACCTGGCGGCGTCCCTTGGAGCCGCAGACCCTCTGGGCTTGGGGGGGGCTGCCCGAGGGCAGCTCGCAACGGGAAAGCGCCGTGACCCGCAGGAGCTCCGTGCGCGCAGCCCCGGCTCCGTTCCTCTGTCCCCTCTGTTCCTCGCACTCCTTCAAGGGTCAGCTTTGCCGCGTTCAAATCCTGACTGTCTGGGAGGCTGCCCTCCTCGATGGATTCCCAGCCTGTCCTACACGGAACGTCAAACAGCGGTGTTATAACCACAGCATGAGCCCAGAACCCATTGCCAGCACATTCCCGGTGGTGCCTGACCATCCTCACAAACATGGCACCAGAAGTTAGTGCTTCCTATAGCTGCCTCCTCAGGCTCAGCAGAGTAAATCAAACTCGGAACAATTTGGATTTGACGTGCGCTGCCTCCACCTGATTTATTCTATATCATTCCTCTTTATATATAGAAGCAAAAGCTGAGAGGTCGCTTGATTTGCCAACTTAGGTATATATAGCCAGTCAAAACTGGCCATGCGCCACTAGGAACTTTTCAAATAGGGCAATGATCTATTTGTGGCCAAAGATAGTTACTTCAGGAGGTATCAGTGACAAGAAGCAAAAAGCTGCTTGTTTGTTTGGACCAGGGAACATGTGTGCGTGTGCAAAGGCAACCCTAATGTTTCTTATGTAAAACTACACACAGAAAGGCTCCAAAATAGAAATGCCTTAATAATTATCTCATATTCAGTGCCATGTCCACTTCTGAATGCACATTTTCCATTGAGCAGCTTCGTGCGTTCTCTCACGCACGGGAGTAGCTCCAATGAAACATCTGCTGAACCATCTATATCATCATCCCTCCTCACATCCTTTCTCCAGGCTCCTCTTCCCAGCGGCGTGTGTAGGAAGCTCCACAACTGTCAGGCAGCTGCTCTGCAGCGACTACTGGGCATTGTATTTGTTCCTCGTGTTTCCCCATCTTTGATCACAGGGTGTCTCTCAGACTTGCCTGACAGGGGAGGGACTATTTTGGGGCTGGTGCTCATTCGGCATGATGCCCGCTTGGTCCAGGTGCCAAAATGAGCTGATGGCCTCGATGTGGCTGTAGCAGTAGAGAGGAGACTGTCCCAGAGCCTCCTCAGCATCACTGCTCGGTGCTGCGGCTCGGTGAAATGTCTCTGTTGGGTGTTTCCAGCACTAATTTTGACTGATAAATGCTTCACTGTGGTAGCCATGCACTAAAAGGGGCATTAAAGATGGGAATTAGGCATCAATGGGTAGGTCTCTTTTCAGATGTCCAAGTGGAAATCAAACAAGACCCTGGTGAATACCCAAGGGGAAACCTTCCTCACCCACTCAGGTCAAGGGCCTTACTCATGTGGAGTAAATATTACCCCACCAATCTCAATGGGAGGGTTTCCAGAGAGACCTAAAGTAGGATATGAGTCAGGAACCAGAATTTGGTGAGTACTTTACTGCAGTTGTTGGGGTTACTCCCTGTATATGCTGATAAGAACCTCTTCAGCAGTTGCTTTTTCCATGGGCAAAAACTCCACCTTTCTTCATTTCATTTGGAAGGGTCCAGCAGGATGCTGCGCCTGAGCTGGCAACCACCCTGTTAGAGGACCTGTAATGGGTCTCTGGGTCTTCTTTCTCTTTCCTTCCCCTTTATCCTTCTTTTTGGAAGGAATAAAGAAAGGTAAAACCATAAAACCCAGTCCTCAGTCTCACAAAACATCCACACCACACACTTCACACACCACCAGCCATTCCCCGGCCCCCTCCAGCAAACCTATGGCTGATATGGCAAACCAAACCCCACAGACCTCCTTTGGTCCGTTCTGTACCACAGAAGTGGAAGGATAACTTAGCAAACCTTACCCTGGCGTTAGCAATCCCCAAGGAGTAGGGTGCAAAGCTCTAGCAGGGAAATCACAGCGGAGTGGAAGCCTCCTGTGTGTGTGTGTGTCTGCGCGTGTGGAGGTGGGACTGAAACAGCTCCCATCACTTTCCTTACATTAACCTTAATAGAAGGGGATGGATGGTGCCTGCCAATTCCACCTCACGTTTCATCCCTCTGAAATATGTGCACTTTCACCAGCTGTATATTCAGCTCAGGGTAATTACTGTAGTGCTAATTTTACCTGAGATGATGAAAGCACTGGAACAGCCGAACCATATAAAGGGAGGAGATGCATCCAGCTGATGCAGTGTTCTGGGTCCTTTTTTGAGCGAAGGAAGTCATGCCTTTGGCTTGTAGATTTGCTCCTGAGGGAGGCTTCTCCTTACCAGTGTTCACTGAAACACAACTGAAGGCTGGGGGAGAATGAGGTCAAGGATATTTGTGCACTGGAAAATCAAAGCACTGAGCACTGAAGTGTTGCCTTCTAGTAAATTACCTTATAGAGATGAAATTACTCAAACAAACAGATCTGCTTCTTCTCTTTTCTCTCCTGTGAGAGAAGCCACTTCCAGACACCAAAAGCACAAAGATGCTTGGAAGTCTTCTGTTTCTTTCTGGATCTTCCAGAAGGATTCAAAGTCAATTGGCATTTCTAATGAAGATTCAGAACAGACACTTACTCTTATCCAAACCAGTTCAGCTTGAAACCATTACAGTGAAGTATGGTCAGAGGAAAAGCAATTTGCCAGAGCTCTGAGAGTGTGAATAATGCAATGCAAACAGCTCTCTGCAGTGCTCGCTTGTGCTTTCAAGTGTGCTCACCTTAACTGTGCCCCCATCCTGGCTTCACCCAGAGGTGCTGGGGACCAGTGTCACAGATTGGGGTTAAGGGAAGAGGAGCTGTTGGTGATTTCTGACTTGTGTAAACCTGGAGGATTGCTTTTATTCTAAGAACAGACCCAGAAGTGATTGGCATTGCTGGCCCTATCCTGGAGTCACCCGTCAGGAGGGATGAACAAAGCCAGCCCATTGTGCTCTGCTCTGGTCTGTTCTGCAAAGGGGTTTCTAGGTCACCTTTGCTGTCAGAGAGCACAAGCACCTTCCAGTCCTGGAGCAAGCAACACGCCGAGCCTCTGTTCATTCTCTTTATCTCTTTGTCTCTCGCTTGCTCTCACTCTTTGCCACGTGTGATCTCTGGCCTTTGTCAAACCCAGATAGTCAGAACATGGGTGCTGCGTGTTCCCTCACCAACAGCCTCAGCAGGCATTTGGCACCCAAGTTAAGTGTGTACTTAAAGTGGAGTAT